ACTGACCGACAATCCCAGTCTCTAAGGGCTTCAAAACCTACAGACTTCCCTTCCTCTTCCAAGTCTTCTTGCTAGTCTGGTTTTCATTAGTTGTGACACATGTGGTTTGACCTTGTGGTCTGACACATGTGGTTCAAAAGCAGTTGTGAGAAGTTATCTGAACTTGAACATCATGCATCAGCTTAAAGAAAAATGCACTAATTAAAAATGATTCTTACCTACTTGGTGATACCATAATATTTCTTCACCTTATTTTACTGAAAACTAGGAAGACTGCATTACTATAATCCTAAAATTATAATGTTTTGGGTATCAAGTAACAAAAGTGAATGGAAATAGATTGTTTCAAGCTGAATGCAGTGGTACAGCCAATAGTTGTGTTGGCAGAGTTTCAGGGTGAAAGCTCCAGACCCGGGGATCCGAAGGGCTGGGTGCAGCCACTCTTCCCAAAACGCCAATCAAGGAGCAGGGACTAAGGGCAGGAACGACCTTGATCATCACAGCCTCATTGGAAGCACAGATAGATTTAAAGATTTTCTCTTTGAGAGGCTGATAGAAGCTTTAGGCTTTTATAGAACAGGAAACAAAGGCGAGGATTGGGAGTCTGCATAGTGGACAGTGTAGATAACCCCAGCCCTGGTGAAGACCTGTTCTAACTGCTCGTTATCTTGGGAACGATCTGGTTCTCAGGAAATGATTGCTCCTGCTTGGGAAGTGTGTGTGTGGGGTCTTCATGGCACGGTGGTCTTCAAGGCTCTGCTTTTCCTGGACTCTAAGGAGACTGCAGATTTAGGACAATGACAGGAGACTTCTAGGTGCCGTTCCAGGAATAAACTGGCAATGCAGTGTTCACGCAAACCTTTTCTTTTGTTCTTCCGATGGGACCCAGGACTTTTCACTGTAGCCCCAGCTTTTTTTTTTTTTTTTTTTTTTTTTTTTAATATTGAGACAGGGTCTTGGCAAGTTGCCCAGACTGGGCTCCAATTTGCCTGGGATCCTCCTGTTTCAACCTCTAGGAGTGCTGGAATTATAGGCATGTGTCCCCATATCTCACTGTCCCTGCAAATCTTGAAAATGCTTTAATTACTCTTGCCATCCTTGGTATTGATGTGGGATGACACATGATAGGTTAATTTAGTGTGAAGAAACCTTGTATCATGGTACTAGTTTTTAGACAGACACTCCACAAGTGATTAATATCCCTATGTGCAGAGCTAAAGAGGGATCTGACCCGGAGTTTTAAAATAGTAAAGGAGACAGATACAAAAATCAAGATAGGGGTAGCAAACTCCATCCTGCCCTTAGCTACCCACTAGGAAACTGAGGCCCAGCTTCAAGTCCCTGTTATAGTCCCAGTTCTTTAGGGACTGACCAGGAGAATCACTTGAGCCCAGGAGTTTGAGGCCAGCCTGAGCAACATAGCAAAACTCATCTCAACGTGCAATAACAGTTGGGCACTAGGGCACACACCTGAAATCCAGGCACTTGGAAATTTGAGGTAGGATGACCTCTGTGAGTTTGAGGCCAGCCTGAGATACATAATGAATTCAAGGTCATCGTGGACTACCAGACTACATAGTAAGACCCTGCCTCAAAAATTCAAAAAATAAACTAACAGCAATAAAAAGTTTCAAGGCTTTTTGAAACAGCTATTGCATAATCATAGATTTTGTTTACTGAGAGTCCTTTGGGCACTGGGCATTTTTTAAGGCATTTGGTGGGAATTATCACATGACATCTGTACACAGGAGACGAGTTATTCCTGTTTCATACAAGGAACAACACAGGCCCAGACAACTTAAGTCACGCAGCCAGAGAGACCATGTTATACTCTGTTGCTATACCATGAGAAAATAAAGATGCTTATTGTAAATAGTCCTATTCTGTTCTCTAAAGATAGCAGGAACCCCTTAAGAGAAGAAAGGAATCACTGCCAAAGCATGCACTGCTCTGGAATTCTCCTGGGTCCAGAGACAGTGCCACCTCCAATTTGATGAGATTAAGGGGGAATTTCATGTTTCAGCTGATTGACTTTGCTTCTGGCTCAGGAAAGCCAGCCTGGCACTAGACCTGTGTTAGGTCCTTGCGGCTGAGTCACAGTTTATCCAGGAAAGCACGTGATTGAGCAGAAGTGAATGGGCACTGGTGGTCTCCTGAACTCTTTCACACCCACAGGAGCAGCTGGGCAGGTGTATACACAATGCAGTACACAGGCACACACACACACAGATGCACACACACACACACACACACACACACACACACACACAGATGCACAGCATCTCAGCACTTGTTATTCAGCCTGACACTGGAAATTCCCAGCCATTCACATCTGTGTTTTTCAGTCTGGGCTCACCCTTTTAGGGAATGTACAGAGAAGAAAAGGGGAAATAAGAGTAAAGGGAAAAGGGGACGAGGCTGAGAGAAGCTACTGCCCAAGGGATTCTGATAGCTCAGGGGCAGGAGCAGGGTGACCCCCTTTGGGGGGCAGAATGAGGCAGAGCCAGGAGAGGGGAGAGGGAGGGGGCTGCGGGTGGAAGGTGCAAATTTCCAGGCCCCTACCTGCCAGTCCAACTGCAGTAGGTCTGAAGTGGGGCTCAGGACTCTGTACTATTAAGAATCCCAGCCTGGCTCTGCTGCTTATAAGCCTTGTGACCTTGAGCAACTGCTGTACCCTTTGAGAGCCTTCTTTCCATCCCAACAAAGATGGCGATTATTGCATAAACAATTTAGCATACTGCCTGGTATGGGGATACACAGCAATGACGACTCCCATTATTGTATCTAAAATTGTAATGGGGACTTCAAGGCTGGACCTATAAATGCTCAGTGGGTTACTAAAAGCAGGAGAAAGCCTGACATCCCTGCCTTTATGTCAGTCTCTTTTATTACCTTAGACTTTGGGTAAGATCCCTGCTCAGCTCTGCATGTAGTCATGTTATTACTTAAGGAATGTCTTTCTAAACATTGGTTATATGAGTTTCATTTGCCCTGTTATTACTTAACGTATCTCATCCATCTTCAAAGCTGAGGACACCAAGCTAAGAATAACAGGATTTGCAGGGATGTCCAATTGCCAGCTTCTACAGCATCCAGTTCCCGCCTCTGGGGCGATGCCTAGAAGTCCCCAGTCACTGTCCTAAATCTTCAGTCACCTAGGACTCCAGAAAAAGGAAAGCCTTAAAGACCACCCCATGATAAGGCCACCCCCAAACAGGAAAACAACCCCATGGTGGGAACTCAAGGGGAGATGGGGCTTCTAGACTCCCCAGAAGTAGTTTTGAGGGTCTCACCGACCAGATCATGGCTAGGCTAAGGTTACCTTCCCTGTCAGCTATGCCGTGACCCCTGTCTTTGCCCTTCTTTTCTGTAAAACCCCAAAGCTCCTAAGGCCCCTTGGGGATGGATCTTGAATCTCTCTTTCTGTCTTCTTTGCATGGTTTTGCCCTTGCTTGTCTCCTGATTAGTGTTTGGCATGGAGGGCTGAGCTTGTTCCACCAGGACCCCCTGGAGAGGGGGACTTTCACTCTAAACCTCCAGAGATGGTATTGTATATTAAAGGGCCCCTCCAGACTGTGCATTAGTGGCAGGAATTTCTTCGGCTAAATCCAGGTTTGTAACTGAAAGAGAAAATAAAACCACACAAATATTCCACAATCCCTGGGGAGCAGCTCTGAGCCAGAGCACAGGTCTCCCCCACTCTGTTCCTTTTCCCTCTTCCCTGAGAATGGGATGGGAAGGCAAGCCAGATCTCATTACGGAAAAGCCCCTCAGTGCTTCCTGCACTGGTGGGTAGTGTGCAGGGGGCTGGGACCAGGCTTCCACCATGGGGCTCCTTCAGAGACAACGGACCCTGTACCGTGGACCCAGGCCTTTCACTTCTAAAGTGCTCTTCCTTCCGCCAGGAAGCAGCACTACTCAGTGGGTGGCCAGTCTCGATATTTTAAATGTATGAACGTTTGGTCTTCTAACCTAGTTCACCAAATGGGTGGCTTGACAGTCACAAAGAACACACATCCTAGGTCCCCATCCAGAGGACACCTCCAAGGCCACATAAAACCCCAACCCTAGGCCCCAGTGCCCCTCTCCCTTTCTGAATGTGGACTTCAAATTCTGCCTAGTAACCCACCCCATGCCTCTCACTGCCACATCCGGAGGGCCTCTTGTGTGACACAGGTCAGTGAACTACAACCTGCTCCGTGGTTGGCAGAGTTGAAGTCCCCATCTCTTCTTTCAGGGGCCTCCTGGGTTCCCATCTGGTGACAGGAAGATGAGGGAGGGCAGCAGAGCGAGAGAAGAAATCATGTGCACATCACGCTCTGTCTTGCCTTGACCTACTTTTAATGGAGATTTGGGCCCTAAGAAAATATCCTTATCATGAGAAAAACAAGACATAGACAACGATAAATGGCACCCGAGTGGGGAAGGCCAGGCACACTTGAATGGGTGGGGCAGGAAACTGGGCATTTCATCCTGGCCTTCCCCAGGCCAGAAACAACTGCTGTCCAGGGCCCAGTCACTGTCCCCTGGGGTGGGGGTGGGGTGGGGGGACTTGGGCTTGTGAGGACAGATCTCCTGAGTCCTCTCCTTAGAGGAAACAGGAAACTGAGTTTATGTAAGCAATTTCCTTATTTTTAAAAATCACCTCTAATTAAAAAATAAAAGCTTATGTGGACATTAAATCTAAGATGTTACTGATAAGATGTTCTCATATTTCATAAACTACTAATTAAAACCCCAGTCAATTAAACCATAACAAGCCAACTTCAAACACGTCTCAATGTGGAAAACGTGCATTTTAGGATCCATGAAATATCGCACATCCACAGGCTAACTTGACCTATGACCTTGTGCTGTTTCAAACCTTGGTAGCTACACATAGCTGCTCTTATGCTAAATGGGGTGGTCCAGGATACTGGAGGGCTTGGGGGATATGGGGAGCCTCCCATTTGGTCATGGCTGTGAACTTCCAGATCCCTTAAGAAGTAATCCCATTTTGAGTGGCCCTGAATCAAGGCCAGCAGTTTGTTGTAGCTGCTGGTTTCAAACAGGAGCCTAAAGAGAAACCTTTGTAGATCCTGGTAGCCATTTCAGAACTTTGGACATGTAATGGTCAATTTATTAGAAAGAAATAGCTTAGAGCCCAGTGCTAGGCCAGACATGAAGCCATGCTGCAAGGCCCTGCTGCCATCATGGGGGCCACGGTGAGCTGCCGCCCTGCACCCCTCCACCACTCCAGGATCCCCAGGTTGGCTAGTCTAATCCACCACATCGAGGGACTGATAGCCAATACAAGAAACGCCCCAGATAGAGCAATGGGCTACTTTAGAGAAACACAGGAAAATGCAAGACAAAGGAGCAAATACAGTCTGGGACTCCAGCCCACTTAGAACAAGTTCACGACGGGTTCCACCCGTGTGAAGCTCCACCTGCCCAGCATGGCGCTGGACAATGCATCCCTTCAATACTGACTTCGGAGTTCTTCCAAACTTGAAAACTGAACTTCCTGCTTTTTGCCCCAACATTCCGCCAATCAGCTGTCAAAACGTCATTCTGCCTGCTCCTTCAAACTCCACCCCCTGTCAAACCGAATAAAAGCCTAACGCTTCTTTGTCTGCCTTGAAGAAACTTGCACTCTTCTTCAGCCCTCCTGTGCCCACAAGAAAGGCCTTTTGCCTTTTTTCTTTTTCTGCCTGTGCTTCTCTGCCACGCCAAGGAAAAAACCTAACAGTTTAGGAGACACAGGTATAGTAGAAATTGGAGGTTACACACCTGAAATTCATTCTCGTATTGCTGGTTAATTTTACATGCCTATGTCTGATGGTCTGGACAGGTATTTTGAAGATAACAAGATGTACTATGGTAGTTATTGTTGATTTACTATTACCTTGTCTTGAAAACCTGTTTATTGCTGTCATTGTTGTTTCGCTTGGCTTTATTCTGTTTCATTTGGTTTGAATCTCTTTTAAACAATAAAAAGAAGTAATCATATTTTGACCCTTATCTGAATCAAGTGAGTCGAGGTCAGTGACAATGTGACCCAGTTTTTCCCCTCAGTCACTAGATCTAAAACAGTGAGATATGAGCTCAGTGGGCATGGGGTGGGGCTACACATGGGATTCTGTGTCCAGAATCTCACACCCACATTGAGACAGGCCCAGAGAGGTAAATGCATGGGTCTGACATCACACAGCCAAGCAGAACAGAGCCAGGCTGGGGCTCAGCCCTATTGACTTCCGTCCACAGTATCCCTTCTCCTAATTGTATAACTTCCTGTCCTTCTGCTCCAAGCAGGCTAGGGACAAGAGTCTCTCCTCTGTCTTCCACCCCTAACGCCTGCCCCAGAGAAGGCACACTTATGTAATTCACAAGACTTTTAAATTTTATTAGTAAAATACAAAATGGCACATACAGTGGTGATGAGGGTTGAAAGAGCAAAAGCCCTCCCCAGACTGTCACTGTCCATGTCCTCTGGGGCAGGGGGACTTCACAAAGGAGGGGTGTCCCAACCTTGAAGGCTCTCCTGGCTTGGCAAAACCTGAACCAGAACAAAGTGCATTTGGACCCTCCCTCCCCTCAGACCTCTCAGAGTGACCCTGAAACATGCTGTGAGGGCAAGTAGGCAGTGGGACTTCCTCTTTCTGCGGGACAGAGTTGTTTTCCTTTTCTAAGGAGCCACCTGCCAAGGACTGTGTCACCAGTACCTAGGTACAGCCCAGCCCATGAGAGGCTCTGTAGACGGAGGGCAACAGTCACTCTTGAGGACAATCAGAAGAAATGGTGAGGTGTCACCAGGGATCCTGAGGGGCAAAGTCTACAGGTCTAGCTCTGGTTGGGGTGCTGGCCACCTCCAGGTTTGCCCTAGTCTTCAGCAGCTAGAAAGGAAACCCAGAATTTTATGCTCACAGTTCTCCTCCCTCAGAGTGGAGACCCTTCCAGAAATATACACAGGACTCCAGGATATATAGACAGTGCTGGCTCTGCATTTTGGGGGACAAAGGAGAGGGCAAAGTCTTGGAGCTCAGAGAACTGTGCTGTCAGGAGTGGATGGAGGTGGAAGGGGACCCAGGTAGGAGGAAAGCGTACGGCTGTGTGGGCCACAGCAAACTCACTGCTACAGGAGCCCCAAAACTATGCAGCTCCATAGCTTTTCCCTGTCCCTTTTGCGGGCTGCCTTGGCTGCCTGGGGCTTGCTGCCCTCCTCCCTCCTCAGTCGTCTCTCTGTGAGGGCTGACCTGGGGCTGTCACTTTGCTAGGAAGTGAGCCTTCCTGGACAAGCAGGAGCCTTCACAGTTGCCTCTGCTCCTGCAGGTTCCCCAGCCCACAGAAGTGCCAGTGAATGTCCAAGGTGATCGGCTGTTGAGGGTTGGGAGGCCCATCCAGGGGCTAGGATGAGAGTCTCAGAGTGCCCAGGAGCACAGGTTATTGCCACGTATCTGCCAGCCTTGTTAGGTGGGTGGTGGTGCTGGGGCCGGAACCTGGCCCTCATTCTCAGTGTTCCTTCGCTAGACAGAGGAGGACACCGAAGCCACCAGAAGACCTCATCTCCCGCCCACCATGCAGAATCTTCACCAGGAGCACTCCAGGAATGCCACGCCAGCCTCATGCAAGAAAAGACACAAATCCAGGGTAGGGGTTGGGGCTCTGTACAGAAGAAATGTAGAGATAGCACCGCAGCTGACCGGGGTGACTGGCGACTGCAGCAGGACCAAGGGACACGAGGAGGTCTGGGGAACAGGCAAAAGAGGCCTGGCCGGTTGCTCATTTGTGAAATAGGAGGACCATGGTGCTCACAGGGAGGCGCAGGCCAGGGAAGAGGGGTCTGAATATTCAATAAATAATTCTGTGCTGGGGCTGGGAACCTCTAACCAGCCAGAAGCAGAGAGGAGTTCTTGGGTTTGGAACTGGAGACCATCCCTCTCTGGCCCTGATAGGTTGAGAATGGTCAAGGGTGACCTCCTAGGCCACACCTGAGGTCTTGGAGCCATTTGCACCTGGAGGATCCCGCCTCCCCATTCCCACTCCCCCAGCTCAGCCAGGCCCCTCAGTGAGGGTGGGTATGAGGATGGGGGTCCCCAGGCAACTGTCTGAATCAAAACCAGACACAGACAAGTAGGCAGCTCACACTGGCACAAGGACGTAGGAGTTACTACCACAGCTCCGGGGGACATAGCGAAGGCCCTCCACCATCTCCCCAGCCATCTTGCGGGGGCAGCCCTGGAGGCTCTGGTAGGCAAACATGGACACCCCCAGGCAGAAGAGGAGGCCAAGGAAGGCCAGCAGCCCCACTGCCTGCCTCCGAGTGGCTGCTTGGGTGTCAGGGACAGGAGTGATAAGGACCTGCCTCTGGGGGTCCAGGGTACCATGGATGGGGTCCTCAGCCTTGGGGATCAAGCTGCCTAAGACCACTGGCTCCTGGCTGGGGGTCCCTTCAGAGGAGATGGGGACCACAGAAGCATGGTCCATGCTGCTGGGGCCCCAGTCCTGGAAAGCATCTGTGTGAGTGAGACCACGACCCATCTCGGAGCCTGCAGAGCTCTCTGGAGTAGGGGTCTGTCCCTGGGTCCATGCAGGTTGGCCTTCAGTGGTTGAATGTGAAGTGGTAGGGCTCTGGGTTGAAGTGGGCTCAGTGGAGGGGGGCGTAATGGAGGGGGCCAGAGTAGAGGGAGCCTTTTCCTGAGTCCCGGGGCTGGAGCCAGGTTGGTCGGCAGCAGACCTCTGCCTAGCAATGGTGGTGGAGATGGCAGTTGTGCCGAAGACCTCTGTGCCAGCTGGAGGCTCTCCATCCTGAGCCTTTGAAGGGAGAGACAGCCTGGTCCCCAAAGATCCAGTCACTCTCACTGGCAGCACTGGTGAAGTCCCTGTGGGTCTCTGAGTTCCCTGGGAAGAAGCAGTGGGCTCCAAACTACTGCTTTCTTCGGTGGCTTTGGGCTCTGTGAGCGCAGGCTGGGATGTCCCCTGGGCAACCAGGGTGGTCTCGGGCTTCCCCACGTGCTTCTCAAACTTGCCGCCACTCTGAGTTGTCAGGGCATGAGTTCGGTTGTCTAGGTGCCATCGTGCTTCCTGGACCCATTTCTCCTTTGGGTCAGCACAGAAAAATCTGTGCTTCTTGGTCTCGAAACTACAAAGGAGAAAGACAGGGACCTAGTAAAGACCAGATAGCAGAAAGCCAGGCCAGCATGGTACAGGACAGAGCACACACGCACCGAAGGTGGGCAGGCAATCCTACAGCCCACCCCAAGCCTGAGGCCTGGGGCCAGTCCACCAGCTGAGACTTGAGTCCTCCCTGGAACATGGACATAGAAATGCCTGCCATGCGAAGGGGACCGACCAACCACCCCAGCAAAACTGGCACAGATGCCCTATGATGACTGGCCCAGGTCACAAGTCAGAGCAGCTGTGTCCAGCCACACTGACCCATGCGGGAAAATCAGAAAAGTCCTAGGCCAATGGGGACCGGCCGATCATCCTACTTCCTTGTTAAAAGAAATAAGTTACATGAAGAAAGCACTCAGTCCAGAGCTACTGATGCTGCAGAAAAAGTTGAAGATGATAGGAGTGTTAATAATCACATAGCTGCCATCAAGGCAGGGGCTCTGGGCTGTGCATCTCCTGCATGGGAGGAGATGTATTATTCTCTGGCTTCAGGTGTGTGATGGTGAGCTCCATGCTAGGATGTCCTTGCTCTGAAAAGGATCCCACGTCACAAAGCCTGGTTTCTCTTCTCCCTCAGTTTTGTGGCCATCAGTGCCCTCTAGACCTGTCCCCTTCTCCGAAGGGGAGCCCCTTAGCCTGAAGAGAGTTCCAGGGAGCTAAAACCATATATATATAGCGGCTTCCTCTATAGAGGAAGCTTCATCAGTATCTCGGCTTCCTCTCAAGCTGTTTGTGGCTGGTTCATCCCTGAGGCATGCAGCTGACTGGGCTCTATGTCATACACTGTTCACATCACACGCAACCTGCAGCATAGTTACCACGCTCATCCCCATTTTATGGATGAGTAAACTGAGGCTCAAAGACATAAAGTCAGTGTGCCTGGCTCAGGAACATTGGAAAACCAGAAAAGTTCTGAAAGACAGGGTGACATTGTAGTCCCCCTCAAGTGCTTTCCTGCTTCCCCTTCACCTGGAGAAAATAGAAGCAAGTGCTTGGAGTGTGTGGTGGAAGTGACAGCCAGAAAGGAAACAGTTCATTTCAACCATCCAGTCCTCACAGGGCCCTGCTTCCTCTGTGGTCCAAAGGAGATAAGGATCTCTGCCTCTAACCCTTCTGGTTACCCATTCTACAGATAAGAAAACCAAGGTGTGGAGGCTAAGCAGTGTGACCAGGGCTACCTGGCTGCAACTTGTTCCTATGTGTTGGAGCCTGGACTGTGCACTGTGAGACCACCACACACAACCTCCCTGTGAGATCCAGTGACTTGAGGGCTCGCTACAGCACATGACAGGCTGGGGAAGATTAGCGTCTGTGACAGATGCCCCAGGTCACACATCAGGGAGGCTGTGCCCAGCCACACTGGCCATGGGGGAGTCATTTCTCACCTATGGGCTGCAGCACAGGTAGTAAGGCTAGCCAAGTGGCCTGGGGTCAGGAGGAAAGGGAACGTTTGTCGAGGCCCGTGGCTGGGAGCCCAGGGTGCGGTGGGTAGGTATGGACATGGATTGGTGGAGGCCTGGGACAATACTGTGGGCCCGACGGGGACTGGGGAGGCCACAGGGTAGCACTTACATGACGGCAGGCTTGTCACAGGAGGCTTGGTTAAGTCGATAGCCCAGCAGTAAGTGGTTCGGGATTCGTGATGTCATCTTATCACAAATATTGCTGCATTTCACCACACCGTGCTGCTGTCCTGAATCCACAGAGATGCCGGTCAGCTGGGCGTCTGTGGACCGCCTGGCTTCCCATCCGCCATCCCAGGCCAGCTTGTGCTGGCCACACCACCCAAGCCAGAAGCCACGCCCACATGCTGGTCTTCTAGCCTGAGGTTCCGCCCCCCGCCTCCCAATCTGCTGGGCCTCCTTTCCCTTGAAGACGGACAGTGACAGTATGCACCTGCCAGGCTGTTTCGTATTCAGGGATTTCCCCGCCTTGGAGACACACCTGGACCTCTGTCCACCTGCATCTCACTGTGCTCACCCTATTTCATGTGTGCACACATGATAACAAGCACAGGCATGGTTTGTTTGTTTTTGAAACGGGGTCTCAATATGTATTTCAGGCTGCGCCTGAAGTCACAGTGACTCTCTTGCCTCAGCCTCCTAAGTGCTGGGATTGCAGGCGTGTGCCACCATACTGAATATACATACACGTATATATTCACACCCAGTGGCACATGATGAAAAACAGACAACCAGGCACACATGGCAGATAACACACATTTTAAAATGTGAAATTACAGTACATACAGCTGCCTTCTAGGAAGGTGGGCCCTGCTGAAGAGATGTTCCCTTTGCTTAGCAGAATGAGATTGAGAGAAGGAAGAGGCATTTGGAGTCCCCAGAGCCAGGGAAGAGAGGGGTGAGGAGCAGCTAGGGATTGGGAGCAGGGTACAGTAGGCAGGGCAGCAAATGGCCAGGCAGCAAATGGACCAGAGAGAAACCCCAGGCCAGGGGCAAGGGTGCCTACACTATTTATTTGACATAAACATTTGAAGCTGTCTGCATCCTATTTCCTTCCTCCTGACTCTGCAGCAGAACTTTTTCTGCTTGGTTACCCACAGAGAAGATAGATATAATCAACCAGACTGGGCTGGAGTTCCAGATTTGGGTCAAGGTTACGTCCAGCAACTGCTAGAGCCCAGAGGGTTTTGCAAACATCTAGAAGCCAGGACTTGCAGGGCAGTAGGGTGGAGAGACCAAGTTTAAGGGCCTGGGAGGCCCCGCACTGATCCCTGGCTTCCACCAAGGCATGTGATTCCATACACAAATAGCTGTGCAAACGCACACCTGAATACAGGTGCACGTGTGCACAGGCACAGACCTCCTAGGTGGCCGCCTCCTTTTCCCAGCATGCCCTTGGTCATGGCCTGCACTGTTGTGGGTATGGTGGTTGAGGCCCACAGTCTGGGCTGGGTCATTAAGAGGCAGCCTAGTGGTTCCTGGGTGGCAGGAGGGTCTCCTCAAGTTACCAGGCTGCCTTCTCTCTCTGAGGGACCAGGATATGAAAGTCACTGTGCAGACTTGTCACAATCCTTCCCCAGCAGGACCTCAAAATGACTCAACCACAGAGCTCCCAGGCTTGGGCCAGATGGCAGCCCTTGAATCGGTCTGGCAGGTGTCTTCCTGGGGAAGTCCCAGGAAAAGTGATGTCCCTGCATGACCTGAGACAAGAGGCTGCGGGGTGGGCAGAAGGGAAGCCACTGAATCCAGTATGGGAAAGGTGACTGTCCACCTTGAGGGCTGTAAAAAAGCCACAAAGCCACCTGGTCTCCAAAGTCCCTACCCTCTGCCAGTGTCTGAAGGGTCTTGGCCAGTCCTAGTGCTGGTTCTGCCAAGAAGGCTATGGCGCTGGCCTGATGAGTCCTTTCTCTTCCTCCCTCCTCCCTCCTCCAAGCCAGTCCCTCACCCCCACCCCATCCATCCTGGCACCCGTTCGCCCCCTACCGTCATCTCCTACTCATACCACACCCACCTACCTACCTGCTATTCATCCCTCTCCCTCACAGCCACCCATCTGCCCACTCCAGCCCTCCACCCTCTGTTCTCCTTCCATTGCATCTGTCCATCCATTTCACATCACCCGCCCACTCACCCATCCACCCATCCATCCATCCCTCTCCATCTCCTGACGCAGCCAGTGCTCACTCCTTAAACCCAGCGCTCTCCCATAGCTCCTGCGACTATTCATCAAAAGCATCTCAGTCCCAACAAATTCCAGAGGTCATCATGATTAATGCAACCAACACATGCTGGTTCCTCCTTGACAGGCAGGCCCTGTGCGGGTCTCCTTAGGTGTGGGGTGAGGCACAAGGCCTGTCTCTGCCCTCAGAAGCTTCGCAGCCTGATGGAAGGTAGACATGCACATAAGGATTAGGGCTGTCCTCTCGAGCAGCCACTGGGGATAGGACCCCACAGTCAGCACATGCACAGGGCCCTTATTAACATCCCTGCAAAGGGGGTATTGTTGTCCCCACTTCACAGATGCAGAAGCTGAGGAGCAGAGAGATTAAACCACTTTCCCAAGCTGCCAACTGACAGAGCTCCTAGACATCGCAGTGATCTAGACTGGCACAGAGCCTGGCAGAAACATCATGCTCCAGAATATTTGGCAATCATAAGAAGAGACTGCTTGCCACAGGATGAGATCAAGGGAGGCTTCTGGGAGGAGGCATCCCTTAGGCTGGCCCTCAAGGACTGGTAAGTAGCTCAGGGTAGCCATGGCCTGAGTCCCTGGGTGAGGTGCTAAAAGCTGTGTGTCTGTTTCCTTACCTGTAAAATGGACATAATACCCGTTTCACAGAGTAGTCACAAGAATGAACATTTTTTCCCCTGGTACTGGGGAGTGAACAGGACTTGCACAGTGAGCTACATCCCCAGCCCTTTTTATTTCTTTATTTTGAGACAAGGCCTCCATAAGTTGCTAAGTTTTGTGGTCTGGGGTCAAATTCGAGAATTTTTCGGCTTCAGCTTCCCTGCTTTAGCTGGGATCACAGGTGTGCACCGCCACGCACAGAATTTTTTGATTTGTTTATTTTTTGAGACAAGGCCTCACCAGATCACCCAGGCCAGCTCTGACCTCACTCTATAGCCCAGGCCAGCCTCCAACTGATAGGTAGCAATCCTGCCTGTACCTCTTGAATGCTGGGTTTATAGGTGTGTGTCGACAAACCGGGAAGAATGAATTTCTTTTGTTGTTGTTGATTTTGGTTTATGCGTCCAGAACATTCTTTCTGTAAACAGGGTCGCTCAGCAGTGACACTACTGACTCTCTGAACCAGATATTCTGTCTCGGAGGACCGCCTTCGGCATCAGGATCTCTACCTAGACAGACCTCAGTAGCAACACTGAACCTGAAACGCTGAGACCTTTGGAACAACCAAAAATGTCTCCAGGAATTGCCAGATGTCCCCCGAGGACCAGCACCTTGGAGACATCCTTGCGCCCACTCCCCAGCTCCCTCAAGCTGCAGGTGCTGTTGGCTTAGCAAGGCCTCTCTGACCCCCAATTTAAACATCCACAGCTCCCTCCTCTCCACTTTATTACTGTTATTGTTTAACTACTGTGCTTTTTTCCCTTCTAGCAGACCAGGTCCTTTACTGATTTGTGTGGTGTGCTGTCTGCCGTTTGCAGCAAGATTTCACAGCTTAAGGACTGGGATCTTTGGCCCTTGTATCCACTGATGGGGCCCCAGTGCTGGGACAAGGCCTGTCACACAGCAGGTGTCCCAAGCCTGTTCTGCATTATGTAAATGGACAAGATGCGCAGGCAGACACTCAGTGACACAAATGGCCTCGCTGACTGAGACATAGCGGGTTTCTACTTGAATTTGGCAGGGCCTGGATCTGCAGGTAAGGAGACTAGAGCAGCTTAAAATGGATTCTCTCTCTCTCTCTCTCTCTCTCTCTCTCTCTCTCTCTCTCTCTCTCTCTCTCTTTCTCTCTCTCTCTCCCTATCGGTGGGACTGGAGTGGGAGTGAATGCGTCAGTGAGCCGGGAGAAGAATCTTGCGCTCTGACTTGGATCTGCAGGTTTGTTACATAAAACCATGGAGCCACCCACCTCCCACAGCCCCATAGACCCATATTTGGGAGCTGATGCAGCTAGCCTGCACCAGCCCCCTGCTGAGGAGCCGGGGGTGGGGGGTGCTGGTTGAATGCCCAATTTTATAGGCGGAGAAACTGAGGCTCAGAAAGGCTGAAATAGCACCCACTATCTACCAGCAGTCAGGGGCCACCACTAGGGAACTGGGTATCAAGCTGCTAATCCAAGCACTGAAGGCGCCCTCTCCATCCTCCCCCCCCCCAGCTTAGTAAAAGGAGCCCGCTCTTCCTCCTTCTCCTTTTCCTCCTCCTCCTCTTTTTCCTCTTCTCTCTCCCAAAATGCCTTTGTGGATGCTGGAGCCCATCACCAAGGAGACAATAGCTATTTTTAAAGGGCAGAAGCTGGAACCAGAGAAGGCAAAACCTTGCTCAGGGACACACAGTAAAGTGATGGCAAAGCAAGCTCCATCTGACTCCCCATCTCCCAGTGCGCACTGTTCCCAGGGCTCAGGTCAGAGAGTAGGAAGCCAGTGCAAATTGCTTCCCTTACGCCCACCTGCCCACCCACCCTCTATCCTACTCTTTATCCCACTGTTGAGTCTGCTCTTTGGAGGTACCCTGCAAGCTGGGGACTGGTTCTCATCCTCCTAGACTGGCTGCATGACCTGAGGCAACATGCCACCCTCTCTGAGAGTCAGCCTGCCAGAGAGCTGGACCCTGCCTGAGGCCAGGGCTGACTCTAGGCGTGTGTGGATGCAGGCTGGTGGGTGTGAATCTTCGCTTTCTCTCCTGCATCAAGTCTTCCAGGTCTTGCCCTCCTGCCCTACCTGCTGGCTGTGCATCCTCAGGCCAGTTTCTAACCCTCTCTAGGCCTCCATCTTACCAATGGCTATTCCTTGTCCTGTAAGGTCCCAGCACTCAAAAACAAGGGGCTGGAGGTAGGAGCTGTGCATGGAAGCTGTGCACAGCTGAGGAAGACAGCATCATGGGCAGGAACTGGCAGAGGCACTGGAGCATCAGACCAGCCCCACTGCAACAGGCCCCATGCTTGAGAGGAGGTGACCTTGAGCTTCACTAGTCTTGGGTCCCCTACCCTTGGGAACCTTGAAAGTCCCAACTATCCCTGGTTCCAGACCAGGGCTGAAGGTTACACATTAACCTAGGGTGGGAGGACTCAGCTTCCCTCCCGGTTCCCCTGGGAAGCTCTTTCTCCTGGGAAGCTCGTTCCCCTGGGAAGCTCCTTCGGGCTGAACCCCACCTTCCTAGTACTATACCTCACCTGGCACCCTGTGCCACCCACACCCCTTCCATGCTGCTGTGAGCGGCTACCTTGCTCACTAGCCAGGCACGGACAGTACCCAGCCCCCTCCCACACATCCCTTTCTGCTTTCCCCAGGTGGGTCTGGGGACTCTGCTGTCAGACCTAAGGGACAGAGACAGGGTGGCCCCCCTGCCAGCTCATGCCCAGGCCGTGCCCCACTCACCAGCCAGCAGGACGATCAGATGGCAGAGCACAGCTAGGCACAGCAGCTGCGACAGAGGTGTGGGAGCCATGGCTGGGGTGGGCGAGGGCCTGCGCGGGGTCCAGGGAGGAGGCTGGGGCCTTGGTTGGAGCTTGCTGCTGTCCCTCGGCCACCTGGCTGTGTCGCTGCTTCTTAGAATGGGCTCTCAATTCTTATAATGGGCTGGCTGCCTCCACCCCCAGCCCCGCAGGCAGGCGGTGGGAGGGGAGAGGAAGCAAGCCTGAGCCTGGCGCTGGATTCCTGGAGATGTTGCCAAGGAACCAGCCGCTCCGCTGGGGAGGGGCCGCTGCAGGGGTCTGAGCCACTGGCTGCTTACCGTTCTGCCTTCCAGGACACTGGACCAGGGCCTGCCAGGGTTCAAAGGACCAAGTCTCCTCCCCTGCGCACAGGCCACCTCCCCTGGGGAGCTGGCTTCTAAGTGAACAATAAGCAAAAGCCTGGGAGGCTGAGAGACAGAGTTCTGGGTCCCCAGTCTGGGTCTGGCAAGCTCTTCGTGACTGCGAGAGAGCCGGAGCTCCCACCTCCTGCTCTCAGCCTCCTCTCCTGCCTTGCGCCTTCTCCTATCTCCAGCTCTGGCCCCTGCCAGCCTGCAGAGGGAGCCTGCTAATTCTGGGAAGGATCACCACCCTTGGGAATGTAGAACTGGAGAGCAGTATCCTCACCAAGAGTGAGCTGCTCTGGACTAAGTCCAGCCAGAGGAACAACCAATTTGTCTGCAAGCCAATAGCCCAGACTAAGGAGCTAGCCAGCCCATGATGGGTGGGCAGAGTGACCACGGCCTGTCTTCTGCTCCCTCTCTCCCCAGCCGCCACACCCAAGCATAGCTGGCTGTGAGGGCTGTGCACTGGGAGGCTGGACACTCCTTAAGAGGGATACCTCTCTTATCACAGGTCAATGTCCACTGGTGATACTCAGACCTGCCCCAAACAGTGCAGGTAAGAAACCAGGAAGCTTCCAGTCCCAAAGAACGGCTCCTTTTATGGTTAACACACATAAACAGTCACAACAAAGCCAGTGTATAAACTGCCATTCTCATGGTCTGTTTTATAGGTGGGGAAACTGAGAGCCAAGTGGGAGCCAAGAAACTTCCTGAAGCTCATCAAGGGGGCAAAGAGTCTGGATTTGCCCCAAGCTCAAGACCCCCAGACCACACACCTCTGCCCCAGCGTGAGACTGACACAAGGAGTGCATTTGGGCCCAGATAGTGCCATGACACCAAGCACTCTGCTTGACCTCCTTCCTCCTTGGGATCATCCCCCACCGGCTCCAAGCCCAGCTTTTCTCCCTGCTGAAATCAGAATGACCACGTCCACCAGTCTCATCAGAACTAAATGAATTGAGATTAAACTTGGCCATAGTAACCAGACCTTGCAGCAAACATAACTCCACCACTTAAAAAGGGCATCGCCTTGGGCGAGTTTCTCAACTTCTCATGCCTCAGTTTCCCCTCCCATAACTGGGATGCTAATGGCTACACCAAGCTGCTAACAGATTGAGTACAACCAAGAACATTCACAGTGCCTGCATGTGAGTTACTTGTTATTAAGCCTCGGAGTGTGCTTGGTGCTGGTGCCTGAGTTGAAAAGCCCTTGTCTCCCACCCCCCACCCCCACCTCAAGGCTTCCAGGGACTCCAGGCTGCAGGGCCAGGGCCATGAGAGACACTGCTTCAGGACCAGAGGAAGTTTGTTTCTATTAACATTTCAAATAATACAGAAGAAAAAGTGGAACAGAGGATTCTCAAATTTCTATTGCTGATTCAATGATGAACATTTTTCCATCTTTATTTCTTCTTTTATTTTTGTCAAACTATTGCAAAGTAAATTAAGGACACTCGGCACTGCCCCTAGATAGTCCTACTGTAATGATACTGTCTTTCGTAATGACACTATTATCACATCTGACAAAATTGACAGTGACTAATTGTAATCTTGTTACTAGGTTTTGGGGTGTTGGAGTCTCCTGGTAGAGATGGTTTCTAGGTTCTTTCTGTCCTGAGCAAAGAACTGGTCAAGATAAGCATAAATGGTAACAAAGTTTGATTTAAGGTAGGAAAGAAACAGGCTCTGACAGAGTGAGTTTGAGCCAAGCAAAAGGATGAGGAGAAGTACACCCTACAGCGTGAGGGTGGCCCCAAGAGAGAGGAAACACAGTGGCAAACACTCAGTGGCAACTGTCTTTGTATCCCCCAATCCTCTGGCTGACATTCGGTCTAGGCCGCCCCGGGGGAAACCTGCGCGTTCTCATGAGGAGTCCGGTGAAGGGACCTGGGAGCTGCTCTGCGCATGTGCACTGCGGTCTCATAATCAGCAGCCAGTTCTGCCTTGCCCTGATCTCCTGTCTCAATCTAACACCGATTCAAATTTTAAAATTTCCAATTGTCCCCCAAAATGTATTTTATATTTTCTTTTCCCTCTCCTCTACCTCCCTCCTCTCCTTCAGTCCTTTTCTTACTTTTATTTATTTTTTGAACCACCATCCAATGTAGGCTCATGAGTGGCCTAGGATTATTTCTTTTTAGTCATTTCAGACCACCTGATCATTTTTTAACAATATTGACCTTTAGGGGGGGTACATGGCTTCCAAGCTACATTTCCAGCTCTATCTCAGTCAGTTTGTCTATTTATTTATTTCCTTTATTGATTTTTATTTAGAGACAAGTTCTTGCTAAATTGCCCAGGTTGGCCTTACACTTGTAATCCTCCTGGATCAGCCTCCCAAACAGATAAAATTATGGGAACTTGGCTTATCTTGACCTTTTGAAGAGTCAACATCATTGTGTTATACAATGTTCTCATTTTTTATTTAGCGTAAGGCATCTGATTTGTTTCTCTAATCTATGCATTTCCTGTAAACCAGAAGTTAGATCTATGATTGTATTAGCCCCAGGCTACACTATCACAGCAAGGATTTTTTTTTTAATTTTATTTAAGAGGAAAAAGAGAAAAACACAAAACAAAACAAAGCGGTGTAAGGGTACACGTAATACAGAACTACAAAAAAAAAAAAACATAACAGTAAGAAATCACCTGTTAGTAGATTACATATTATCATTTTGGAAATAGTTGCTCAAATCACAGTATCAAAGAATACAAAGTGGACATTCAAACAGAGAGACTGCAGACAGCTGTGTTCAATGATCCAAAAACATTAATATAGTCAGCTATTTAACACCCCTAAACACACTTGCTGTTATATCCGTTAGAGCTCTTTTTTTTCCCCTTCCTCTCTTTTTTACAACAAAATTTACACATTTTGGATTTTATTACTCCTTAGTTCTTATTACTTTTTTGGGGGGGAGAGAATAAAGTCAAATATGGCAAAACAAAGCTGTCAGTCAAAACCAAGGATAGACATAGCACATGATGTAGAACAGAGTACAAGGTTATCAACAATGGTTATCAACATTGTCTCTTGTTTCCTTAAAAAGAATTGTCTATCTCATTAGATATTATAAAGTTGGACAAAACAGTAGAGAACAAGACCAATAAAACTTAGGCATTGTAAACATTACAGGACTTCCAAAGGAGACAATAGTCAAACCAGAATGGGCATCTTAGTGAATCTTATTGCCTTTAAAGTAGCTGCCTATACCCTCAAACTTGATACTATCATACAGAATGGAACAGAGTCTAATCAGTCAAAACAAGATCGTGGGAGTATTACAGGACTTCAAAACAAGTTAATAGGAAATCAAAAAGAGTTACTATTATATATCCTAGTTTTTTAAATTTTTCCCCTTAATTAAAACAAACATAAGAAATAACTAAATAATTTTTTTAAAGAATAAGGGAGAGATTGAGATAAAACAGGACATAACAATATAACAATACAGGTCAAAGCATGACTGTTTCAGCAACCTAGTGCTTCACCACCAAATAACCTGACTTAATAGTAGTTACCATAGTGTCTGTCTTTTTCCTTGAAATATTTGGATAAAACTTCATATACTATAGCTTCAAATATTTCCATATTAAGAAGCCCAGAATAAAGCCTTTCTAATTAATAAGTGAAAACTTTATAAGGTTTCAAGGCCACATAATGGGGAATCATGATTACCACATATTTTTATATATTTGAATCATTACTTACATTAGGGAAACTATTCGGTATTCACACATACGAGATTGATTTATTTCACTTATGAGTATGGTCTCAAGCTGCGCCCATTTATTGATAAATATCTCAATGTGATCCTTCTTTATAGCTGAATAATACTCCATTGTATAGAAATACCACAACTTTTTATCCATTCCTAAGTTGATGGACACTTGGGTTGTTTCCAAGATCTGGCGATTACAAATTGTGCTGCTATAAACATAGGACAGCAAGGATTTTTTATGAATAATTCCATGCACTTGTCACTGTACCAATCGATGGGAGGCACATCCAAACATTCATTTGTTTGTTTTTGCCTTTTTGAGACAGGATCTCACTATGCAGTTCAGGCTGGAATTGAGCTCACTTTGTAGCCCAGGCTGGTTTCGAACTTGCAATGATCCTCCTACCACCACACCTAGCTTATGTTTTGGAATGGATGATAGGTGATTGATAATTCTTTCTGAAAAAAGTATGATTCCCTTGTGACTCACCAGTAAACTGGGCAGGAAGAGCTGCACCCTGATGTGTGCACAGATAGGATTTGCTGGACTATTCCAGGCAGAGAGAAAACCCTACCTAAAGTAGGGGGCAGGGGACCTGAAGAGAGCGCGGGAATGGTCTGGTACCTCTGGCTCCAAGGAAGAGGTCATTTGGAGGCTGAAGCTGGGCCATAGTGTAGAAAGTTTTGAAGACAAGCAGGAGAGAGCAGAGCTGGACTTGGAGGGCTCTGAGCCAAAGCTGCAATTAGAGAAGCGGGCAGCACTGGGCAGAAGGAGGGAGGCTTGGGAGTGGGACTATCCTGCTCCCTTTTGCTGGCCAGTCAGGGAGGCTGCCTGAACGGACCCAGCATATCCCTCATGCCTGGCCACACTCTCTTTTTTTACGGAGGCAAAGTACACATAAAAGTTATCATCTTAACCATTTTGAGCACACCGTTCAGTGGTGTTACGCTCACCTTGTGCAGCCGTCACCATATTCCACCTCCAGAAATGTCCTGTCTTCCAAAGAGAAACCCTGTCCCCATTACACAGTGGCTCTCCATTTGACCTCCCCAGTCCCTCATAGCTACCACGCTACTTCCTGTCTCTAGCACTGGCTACTCCGGGTGACACTTGTAGATAGAAGCCTACAGTATTTGTCCTTTTGTGACTGGCTTCTTGCACTTGGCATGATATCCTTGGGGCATGTTCATGTGGTCGTATACATCAGACTCTCCCTCATTTCTAAGACTAAATAATATTCTTTAGTCTTTTTTTTTGTTTTTATTTGTACCGGGGATCGAACTCATGACCTCCTGCTTGCAAGGCAGGTGCTTATGCCACTGAGCTAAATCCCCAGCTATTCTTTAGTTTTTATAGACCACATTGTCCATTTACTTATCGAGTGGACATGTGGTCCTTTTCCACATTTTGGCTATGTAAAGAATTCAGCTATGAGCACGAATGTACTCCTCTCTTTGAGACCCTGCTTCCAATTTTGTTTTGGATATACAGAGCCCCTCTGGTAATTCTGCTTATTTATTTATTTTGTGGTGCTGGAGGTTGAATCGAGGGTCTTTGCGCTCATCTACATCCCCAGCCTTTTTAAAAAATTTTTTAAATTTTTAAAATTTTGAGACAGGATCTCACTAAGTTGCGCAGTTAGGCCAAAACTTGTGGTCTCCTTGCCTTGGTCTGTTTGATTTCTTGAACTATCATACTGCTTTCCACCGCGGCTGCAGCTTTTTATTTTCCCACCATCAGGGCACCCGGGTTTCAATCTTGCCAACACTTGTTACTTTCTGTTGTCTTGTTGATGTAATAGCCATCCTAATGGATGTACACTGTTGTCTTATTGTGGTCTGTTGGCAGTGATTAGGGCTGTTGCGCATCTTTTTTTAATTTTGATTTTTATTAGTATATATTTCTGGTAGATAATGTTTCATTATATACATGCACCAGCTCTTGTGGGGAGTTGGTACATGACGTCACAGACTTAATTCCTGTTTCGTTCCATTCCCTCCTCTTTTTCCCTCCCTCCATCTGTTGATCCCCTTCCCATGTGAGAAAGATCTATCTTCCTACTTCTTATCACCTGTCCTTTATTTTGCTTTATATTTATATTTCAGGTTTCTCATAAGAGAAATCATGCAATATTAAAGTTTATGTGTCTGATTTATTTTCTGGAACATGATTGTCTCATGGGCCATCCGTTTTCCTACAAATGACTCAAGTTTATCTTTATAGCAGAGTAACATTCCACTGTGTATAAAACCACATTTTATTTATCCGTTCATCTGTTGGTGGACATTTAGGCTATTTTTAAGCTTTAGTTATTAGGAGATGTGCCGCTATAAACATGGGTGTGCATGGATCACTCTAATAAGATGTCTTTAATTCTTTCTGGAAGATACCTAGAAGAGGAAGAGCTGTGTTAAATAGAATTTTTTGTCGTTGTTGTTTAGAACAGAAAAATTTATTGGAGAGTAGAAATAGGTCCTGAGAGACAGAAAGAGTCCCAAATGAGTTGTCCCAAATGAAATTTCTAGTTTTAGTTTTTGAGGAATCTCTGTACTAACTTCCATACTAGCTGTACCAGTTTACATTCCCACCATCAATGTAGAAGAGTTCTTTTTCCCCTTTGATTCCATAATCAAGAAATTTCATCACCAAGAAATCAAATAACAAATGTGTATCCTGTGTGGTTATTGGCTATTTGAATATCTTCTTAAGATCTATTCAAGTCTTTTGTCCAGTTTGTCATTGGATTGTCTGTTTTCCTCTCTCTGTCTCTATCTGTCTGTCTGTCTGTCTGTCTGTCTGTCTGTGTCTGTGTCTCTGTCTCTGTCTCTCTCTCTTTCCTTTTCTTTTTTGGTACTGAGGGTTGAACCCAGGGTGTTCACACTGAGCTGCATCCCCAACCCTTTAACAGTTTTCTTTTTAAGTTTTGAGACAGTGTCTCACCAATTCTCTAGGTTGCTAGGCTGAACTTTCAATTCTTCTACCCCAGGCTCCCAGAGAGCTGGGATCACACGCATGCCTGTCCTTTGCCTCTTGGGATTCTCACAGCTACATACACTGACATGCTTTTCTTGCCTCTTGTTCACAGAGAGGAAAGCCAAGGCTCAGCAAGAAGCACCCTGCTCCTGACGACAAGCAGGGAGAGTTCCCACGCTGGTCTAAATCCACTGCTCCTCCTATTCTTGCTGCTTATTCTTGGCAAGCACTCTGCATGTCAGAGCTACAGCTCTGGAAATTCCATTGCAAGGCAGATAAAAAGGGGACCAAAGGGCACATGTCACAAGATGGGTGTGAAATGAGTGCTTGCATTCAGGAAGCCGTGGAGACGCCCGAGGGCAGCAGGCTCCTGTTTTATTGTCTTGGCAGAGAAACTGTCTAGTAATTCCGGGAAGGATTGAAGCCTAGGAGAGCTGACACCCCACGAGAGTTCCGTACCAGGTGAACCGGGTGCTCTGCAACCTGCCTCCTCTCCCTCCTGGACACAGTCTGGCTCTATTTCCCAGCATCCTTTGCTCAATGGCATGTGACCAGGCTTATCCCATCCTCCCATAATCCTCCATCTTTGCCCATCTGCGGGTGGTGGAAGAGTTCAAACTGTAGAAGGGCATGGCTGCTATGGTTTGGAAATATCCTCAGAGGTTATGGGCTTGGTCTCCAGTCTCTGGCACTGTGAAGGCAGTAGAACCCCTGAGAGGTGCTGGGGTGCTGTCTCCTTGAAGGGTAAATTGGGATCTCAGCCTCTTTCCTTAGCTCTCTCTGGGTCTCTGCTTCCTGGCCACTATAAAGAGCACAGTCCTCCTCCACCAGTGCCTATGCCATCATGTATTGTGACACCAGAGAGGCCCAAAGGGACAAAGCCCAGAAACTATAGACTGAAACTCCTGAAGCTGAGCCAAGACGAACCTTTTCCTTTATTAAGTGGGGTTTCTCAGGTATTTTATCATAACAACAGAAAGTTGACTACTACAGCAGCCATGAGAAGGAAGGAGTCTAGGTCCCCAAATGACCACATGGAATGTAGACCAGGAATGCTGGATTTGACTCAATGAGGGAAGGAGATAATTCTGTTGGGTTGAGCCCCTGAGACTTGGAGTTGTTTGTTGAAGGAGGAAGATTTTATTGATCAATTCTTTCCTTCTTCCCCAGCACCCACTCTTGAAGGGGAAAGTTTAGGTTGAGCTGGTGAATGAATATGCTACTACTTTAAGCTCAGACCCATGGCCTCTCCACATCCTCCTCATAGCTGGACCTGGGTTGGGCCCGGTTGGTGGGAAGCTCTGGGGCCAACAGCTGGACCTCCCTGTGGCACTTATGAAGCTGCCCTCAAGACTTTGTGTCCTTCGCAGAGTGATCTTGGGCAATTTATATTCTTCCCCGGTCAGGGAGAAAAGGGGCTGTGGTGCCCCCTACCTCATCTCACAGGGACCACAAATGCCAAGGAACCATAGCAGACACTGTTTGAGAGGATTTATTTTCCAGAAGGCCTGAGGGGCAAGAGCAAGACAGGAGGGGACATAACACTTGGAGCCCCCAGGACACTTGAAGGCTCCATTCGTGGGCAGTAGGCAGGTGAGGGACACAGGCCTGGAAGACCCAGAGCTGCGTGGCTGGGGCAAGGTGCACTTTGGACCCAAGCCCTTCAGTAACCATGAGGTGACTGTTCTCATCTTCATTAGTCACATGAGGCTCTGAGCACTAACATGGGTCACTGCTCAGGGTTTTACAGTGCCAACCGCCCCACTGAATGGCAGCAGGCTCCCTCAGAAAGGAGCGAACATTGTCAGTTTATTCCTTTTATCTGAGATACTCCCAAACCCCAGTTCTTAGCCCGGCCCCAAACATCCAAGAGCAAGTTTCCCCAGGCTCCTTCACATACATAGCAGCCCCACTATAACCTGCTTCCTCCAGAGGCCTCAAAAGTGCCATCTTGTCCCCTCCCACAGGGTTCCTCAAGTTCTCCCATTCATCCACTTAACCTCTTAACTATTACCCTCTTTTTACACATAAATAAAACTGCAGCTTATAATACCGAGCCATGATCACCACCGACACCGTGGCACGAACTCAACAGAATAATCAGCTGTTAAGGAAGGAGGCAGGGGAAGTGGACTGGGGTGAATTCTGAAGAGATCAGCCCTGACTGCTGGAGACTGAAAGACCAATAAGTTCTGAGAGAAGAAAAAAATCAAACTTGACCAATGCATAGTTAAAATGGGGAAGACAGGTGAATCCGAGCAAATCAGGAATCCACAATTGACCCAATTCATCCTTTCTAGTGCCATGGATCTCTGTATTGAGAAGTAAGTGCCTGTTTTGGGGTGGAGGACACATCATTTTATTGATCCAGTCTGCAGCCCTTGCAGAGCTCTCTGATTCTGAGCCAGGCCCTGGGCTCTGTGCTCTATGCTGGAGGCCAGGAGATAAGAATAACAAGATGGGGACCTGCGTCCAAGCAGTGGTGCTGGAGGGTGGGCCTCTAAGTCCTGAAAATTCTGAGCAGACAGTAGTCAAACCTAATAGGAGCAGGCAAAGGGCCAGGGAAGTCTAAAAATTGTCTTGATTAGTTGGGCTGAGCAAACCCTGGGAGTGTGGGAGACCTGGCCATGTGCAGGTAGCAGGAACAGCCCTGGAAAGATCCCAAAGTGGAAGCGAGCAGTGTTGGTTTGGGGAAGAGGAAACTGGAGCTCAATACACAGGAAGGGAAGGGGTTGAAGCTGGGCACGAGGACAGCACCCAGATCAAAGGGTCGGGGCCAGCAGCAGGGTCTGATCTCTTCGAGAGCAGTGGGAGCAAAGAGGTGGCTGATCAAGACAGGGACCCTGGCTGTACTGAGGCTGGAGGGGCCTGAAGGGAGGCCCAGCAGAGGGCGAGAGCTGCAGGGATGGAGATGAGAGGGCACAGAGGGAGTTACAGGCACAGGCTTCTGTGAGCAGCAGCTGCAAAGGTGGAGAGGTAGGGCTTGGCGAGCCTTGCTGGAGAATCCAAAGGCAGTGGTCATCATGGTGCCTCCTCATGGGCTCAGCTTCTGGAGAATCTTCTTTACCCAGGGCAGTTTGGGGTTAGCACAGATCTCCCGGTCTTTGACGGTTTGCAGGCTGGAGGGAGGAGATGCAGGAAGACATGTGCCAGCATTAGCATGCAGCAAGGATGTGAGCTTTGCATTTATGAGTCACTTACTACAGGCAGGGCTTCAGCATTTATGAGTCACCTCCTGTATGTTGGAATACCTGCTTCGTAGTGTGCAGAATGCATAAGGTACAGAATGAATAAGTCACCTAATGTATGCAGGGCTAAGCAGTTTAGCCACCTGTTGTATGTAGGAGCATCTGCTATGTAGAATATTTCAACATTTAGAAGCCACTGCTGTATGCAGACCCATTTCTCAGGTGGAACAAGAGGCTAGGAGTAGCAAGGATCCTCCAGGACCTCGTGGACCTCTAGGATCATTAAGTCCTCAGTTCCAGCCTTGAGTGCTAGGCCAGGCCGTGGTTTAGATTCTCCAAGAGTTTTATATGACTGTCATTGTCTTAGGGAAAAGAATACTGAGTAGTGGCCAAAACCATGGAGCTTGGGGCCATCTATTGGGATACAAATGCTAGCTCTATAATTTCACTTAATTTATTTATTGTCTTTTTCGTTTTTATCAGTACCAGGGATCGAACTCACAACTGCCTGCTTGCAAGTCAGGTGCTTATGCTGCTGAGCTAAATCCCCAGCCCCAATTTCACTTAATTTATCTGAGCCTCAGTTTCCACATGAGACTCAAAGTGGCCTGATGATAAGTGACAGAGCTAGCATGAAATGCTAGGATGATAATCATAGTTCACCTCATAAGACATTGAAGAAGCTTTGATGAGTTAATGCACACAAAAGTCTCAAAAAAGTATATGCTGTTAAGTGCTACAGTGTACAGTAGGTATTAGAAAATTCTGCCAGGAACTGGCCTGAACTTTTGATGTGGATTCTCTTAATCTTCATGTTCAGCTCATGTTAGTCCCTGTTATTCACCCCATTGTACAGCTAAGGAAACTGAGGCCCACAGAGGTAAAGCAGCTTGCCTGAGTAGCAGGCCTGATGAGATCTGAGCACCATGCTGGAAACCTAGACTGTCCTGGGCAGGAATGTCCTCTCCTCCAAGCCCCTGCATGGGGGCAGAGATGGACTCTAGCTCAGGACCAGACAGCAAGCTGCAGTTTAGGCTCCAGCGTCCACCTCACACCCAGAAACAGCAGGGAAGGCCTGGGGCACCTGAGTTGCTATAGACCAGCATGGTTTGAGGGCTGCCTGTGATCCGACCCATGTCCACACCCTGGGATGCCCTTCCTGCCTCTGCCTCTCCAGAGCCTGACAGTGGGGCCCACAGCTCTGGGCTCCCCTTGTTCCCTGGGTGCCCCTAACACACAGACAATCAATAAACAGAAAGAGCAAGGAAAGCAGCACTGGTGGCCTCCACCTGCGGGCAGCCTGTCCTGGTCACTGCAGTTACTGGGCAAAGCACCATCCCCCTGAACTTCTGTTCCCCGCTCTGTCAAGCCACATTCTCTCTAGAGTGCCTTCCGGCTCGGAATGCAAAGGTCACATGTATGCTTCGAGGAAGCACCTACTGTGTGCCAGTAGTGAGCTCTCCACCTCCTACTTGCTGTTCTGATGCCCCGTGGTGCTGGGGGGGGGGGATTAATCCCTCTGTGCTGTCCGCATGTGGCAAAAAGCAGACCAGGTGACACCTATCGCACAGGGCTCCTTCTGGGATAAAGCAGCTCGTATTTCTAAAGGACTGATCATAACCACTAGCACTTAGCAAACACTCTATTATGTTTTTGATGCAAATGCACTTCCTCAAATAATCCCCAGGACCCTGGAGAGGACTCAGATGCCTCTGGTGGCAGCGGTAGCAGGCAGGCTGCCTACACCACCCCCGAGCCTGTAGCCAATAGCCTGGAACTATGTACTGCCCACACTACCATGCCCATGCTGGGCGGCGCCCTGTACACTCAGCTCTGCGGCCTCAGAGTCTGGCCTGCTGCCGGGCACGTGGTGGGCATCCAGTCATATTTGTCCAGTGATCCAGCCCATTGTCTCTGTTCTTGGCACACTCAAGTGTGGGGGAGCCACGTCTTCCAACCAAGCCTCCAAGCAGATGTCCAGCTCTGTCCCATTCTGCAGCTCTGGTGCCACCCCGGACCACACCCATTAAGGCCTGATGGCCAGCCCACTACTCACACGACGCCAGCCCTGCGGCAGGAGTCTGAGGTCCAGTAGAAGTCCTTCACCACGCGCGGCGGCAGCGGGTAGCGGACAAAGTCCCGGCAGCAGATGCTGTCCTCTACGTTGGCCCCGTAGGGACCTGGGGGAGAGGAGCAGAGGGTCACCCTTGGCTACCACCCTTTCCAGGGTCTTCCAGCCTCCAGGGAAGAGCTGCCCCCACTGGAAGGATACCTACCAGATGACTCTGGGCTAGTAAAAATCCCTAACAATGAGGCCTCTACAAAGCCACGAAGACTGCAATGTCTGTGCCCTAGGAGGGTGTGCCGCAGGTGGTAGATTCAAAATAGCCATCAACAATACACTTCTTGGTGGGCATGATGGCACAAGCCTATAATACCGCAACTGGGAGGCTGAGGCAGGAGGATCTCTATGAGTTGGAGGCCAATCTGGGCCCTATAGTGAATTCAAGGCCATCAAGACCATATCTCAAAAACACAAGAAAACAAACTCCGATAAGCTTCTAGGTGAGTCTCTGCCTCTGAGCCAATCGTGAAACCTCAAGTGTTGCTGTTATTTAGGCCTCAGACCCAGGCTCACAAACTCCATGTGCTTTCTTTTTGTGTGTGATACTGGAGGACACTGAACTACTGTACATCCTCAGTCCTTTTTAAATTTTATGTGGAGGCAGAGTTTCCCTAAATCATTAAATTGCCCAGGCTGACCTTGAATTATGGTCCTCCTGCCTCGGTGTCCAGAGTAGATGGGATTACAGGAATGCGCGCTCTGCTGTCCCCAGCCAAGTTCTTCCAATATAACACTTGGGAAGTTTGTTAAGCTCACATCTGCTCTCGCCTGCTTCACTGTGTACTGGTGAGGTCATGGTTCAGAAATGGGGCAGCACTTGCTTAAGATCACACAGCAAGCCTGGGCAGAGCCAGGACGAAGTGTCAGGTGGGGACTGTCACACTACCTGGACTCTAGTCCTGCTCTGTCCTGAGTTGCTGGGCCACCGTGACCACATCATGTAACATCTCCAAGGCCCAGTTTCCTGCTCTGACCAAGCTGCTAAAAGCATCAGTGGCTGGGAGCGTTCACATTTTCTGAAAGTCACGGAAGTGCTCAGAAAGCCAATACCTGTGCGCAGCGCCTGTCTGGCTGCTGGCTCTCACTCCAGTGCTCAATCCCAGACACAGCCTGGAGCAGACAGCGCAGTGCGGTGAAGAGGATCTAGCACCCCAGGTAAGGACAGGAGCGGAGCAAGCTGGGGTGGTGGCAGGGCAGGACCAGCTTTCCCAGGGAAGGTCTTCCATGTAGCTCTGCCTTACCGCACTTGGGCCTGACCCTGGGCGCTCTGCGTCCCCACCTCTCCAGGGCCTGCCCACCCCAACTCCCAACCTCCAGGAGGCAGATCCTGAGGCTAAGCCTTTGAGACTACCTCCTTAACAGATGCATAAACTGAGGCCTAAAAAGCACTGTCACTACCCAGTGCCGCGAGAGCCAATGGTGGATTAGGACCTAGTGCTCTTTCTAGGAGAGGAGGAAGGAGGAAGCCACCGTGGTCCCCAGCCTCACCTGCATCAGTTGCCTGAAGCATCACTGAGAGGAGGATGAGGACAGCCAGGAGCGGAGTCTGCAGGCTGGCCATGTCTTGCTGTGAGTGTCTCAGTCCAGGTGTCAAATGGTCAGAGGGCAGGCAGGCCTGGTATTTAAACGCTCCTTCCACCCACAGGCTCAGACATCTTAGTCATGGTGGAAGCCAGAGTCTCTGACATTCATGTCGTGAAAGGAGAAGTCCCCGATCCCTTCAAATAGAGAAATCCTCTTCAAGGAACCACTCTAAGGGGACCTCCATCCTAGCCTAACTCTGGGTCTCCAGAGACTTGCAAAATCCCCCTCGAGCTGGGCCTCCCAGAGGCCGTGCCCCTAGGGGCTGACTGAGCTGTGGGCTTCCCCAGGTGAGGGGGAGATGGGGGTGGCCTGGCCTGTGTGCCTGGGGGTTGGCTGTGAACCAGGTGTGAACAGGGAAGATCGCCCACCTCCGATCAAGAGCATCTTGGTATCTTGAAGACCACCACCGCCGCCGCCACCACCACTCGCCCAACTATTGCAGGTCCCACCGACTCTGCTGTCCCTTGATCCTGGCCTTGTTCTTCTTCCCCACTGTCCCTCTACCTCAGGGCTGGGCCTCTCTTGAGTCCCTCCCTCCACCATGGCAGCCTGAGTGAGTGGTCCACACTAGGGGCTTCACCCCCCACCTCCAGCCCAAAGCCCCACTGTGGTTCCCATTTACCTGAGAGCTGAGCCGGGCTCCTGGCTGTGGCCTGCAAGGCCTCCTTTCCCGACACCCCTAAACACACACAATCTCCATCTCTGATCACACCACAACAGTCACAGTTCCTCAAAGAGGTCTGTGGCCTGGCGCTGGCCATGAATTCTATTTTCCACTTCTCTACCACTTAAACTCCTACTCATGTGTCAAGAGCCATTTGAAATGTCACCTCTTAGGTAAGCCCGCCCCCTCAGGACTGCACACTTCCCAAGTGTCCTGGACATGGCCTTGAACAGACCACAGTCATGCTTCCTCTTTCTTAGGCCTCTCAGCTGTGGTATTCCAAGCTCTTGGAAAATGAGTGTCTCCTTTTACTCTTGTTGGCATTCCTACATGCCTTCCAAGAATCAGGTAGGTCATGGAAGTTCAGAACACAAATAACAAATGAGGAAACTGAGGCTCGGAGCCGAAAGAGACTTGTCCAAGGTCACACAACCACATGGTGCCTGAGCCAGACCTGGAACTGAAACTCAGGATTCCCTTGTTAAAGAGACCCAAGCATTCATTATTCATTTGTTCAACAAATTTATTGCGCCCTGTGGTAGACTAATGGTCCCCTAGAAATGTCCACATCCTAACCCCCAAAACCTGAAAATACAGTACCTTCCCTGGAGAAAAGGTCTTTGCAGGTGTGATCTGACAATAGGGAAAGGTCCCGTTGCAGAGAGGATTCAGAGGAAACAGAGGAGAGGCCCGAGTAATCAGGGCTACAAGCCCAGGCATGCAGGAGGTCTCAGGGGGCTGGGAGGCGACAAGGATGCAGTTTCCCGTAGGGCCTCCAGAAGGAGCCTGGCCCCGACACCTGCATTCCCCAAGGCTGCTTTCAGACGTGGGCCTCCTGAGCTACGCCATGAGAAACATGGGCTGCTTCAAGCCACTGCATTTTTGTAGTTTTTCACAGAAACAGGAGGAGACTGAGACAAGAATCGAGCGTGCGCCAAGTGTGCTGCCAAGAGCTGGGGGTGCAGCCTTGCACAGGCCAGCAAAGGTCCCTGCCTTTCTGGCACCCGCCTTCGAGACAGGTGCCAGGCAATGGCCAAGCCAAGGACCGTGGGCTGTGATGAGCTACAGAGAAAGCAAGACCGAGAAGCACAAGCAGACAGAGGGGAAGCAGCTCTGGTGGGCTGGGCAGGAAAGACCTTGTGAGTGGTGACATTCAGGCTGAAACCGCAATATAGGAAGGAGGCTCCAGGCATGGGGAGGCAACTGCCCTGGGTGCGGGGTAGGGGCTGAGAGGGCAGCAGACCTGGGCAGCCAGACTGGCGAGGCTGGCAGACAGCATCCCTCACGTGGCCCAAGAACCCCACAGAGGACCTCTTGTACCCAGGGCCAGCCACAAAGGACAAACCGATTCTACTGCTGAGCTCCATAGAGCAGCCAAATCCACACAGGCAGAAAGGGGCTGGGTTGTCGGGGGCTGCAGCGGAGCAGCAGAGTCTCAGTTTTGCAAGCTGCCAAGTTCTGGAGATGGATGGTGGTGACAGCTGCATGACAGCATCAGTGTACACAATGCCACCGCATTGTGCATTTAGAAACAGCTGAGGTGGTAAATGTATGTCTGTATATGTTACCAATAAAAATAGTGTCCCCCTAGACAGGCGTGGTGGTGAATGCCTGGCATTGCAGCATGCAGCAGGCTGAGGCCTGAGAATTGCAAGTTCAAGTCCAGCCTGGACTATGGAGGGAAATTTCATCTCGAAAAATATATATATTTTTTTTTAAAAGGCACCCCCACATCAATTCAAGGCTCTAGTACTAATTTACAATTTCAAAACACACAGGAACTGCAAGATAAATGAGCCCATGGGAAACAATCAGACAAGCCTGAAAATGGGACCTTTAGATCTTCCGCTGAGACAACTTCCTGAAGTCATTAAAAAGTTAATACTTAAAAAAAAAAAAGAAAACAAATAACATGGCTAGGACATTGAAGACTAAGAGAGACTTGAGAGACTTAACCAAATGCAGCATGTGGACTCTGATAAAATTGTAAGGTTTTTTTCCTTTTTTCTTTTTTGAGACAGGGTCACACTATGCAGCCCAGGCTGGCCTCAAATTCACAGTGATCCTCTTTCCCTGGGTACTGGAATTACAAGCCTGTGCCACCACATCCAGCCTAAATCCCAGTTTTGAAAAACACCTGTAAAAGATCTTTAAAGGACAATTGGGAAATTTGTGCAGAGGTTTGATATTTAGGTTTTATTATTGATTTTCTTATGTGCATTAGAGACTTCTTTTTTCTTTTAGTACTAGGAATTGAACTTAGTGTGTTTGCACTGAGCTATGTCCCTAGCTTTAAAACAATTAAGATAGGGTCTTAAAAATTTGCCCAGGTTGTCCTTGAACTTGTGATCCTCCTGCCTCAGCCTCCCAGAGCTCTGGGGTTATTAGGCATGTGCCACCACACTCGGTTAGACTTTAAAGCTCTGAAGGAAGATGGTCTTCTTCTTAAGAGATGCACACTGAAGAATTTTGAGGTTAATGTCATTTTGACCTTAATTTCAAAGAAAAATGTATGTATACAGGGTACAGTACATGTGTGTGTAGATGTAGATATATGTGTATATTTATGTGTGTGTATATCCATACATTTGGCAATGCGTGTATAGTATGGTGTATACATACACCATGTGACTGTCATGCATATGTGTAATACATGTCTATGTGAATGTGTGTTCTACAGAGAAAAGGAGACACAAAAATAAAAATGGCAAAGGGAGGATTAAAATTGTTGCTCAGTGGTAGATGTCCTGGTGATCACTGACTTACTCTAAGAACGTGCTTGGACATTTAAAATCTGTCACGAGGAAGACTTAGACCAACAGAAAAATATTTTTTAAATGTGGAAGTCGTCCCGTGAGCAGAGAGCTGTCACAGGATTTTGAGCGGCTGACAGAATTGGCTGGTGGTTCTTCCACCGAACCTGGGGCTTTCTTACAGGGCTCTTTGGGGCCAAGGCCACTCCTTAGACGGGCCCTGGGGGTCCCCCCTGGAGAGCACCTGGGTCCCCAGGGCCTTGGCAAACCCCAGACCCCACCTGCTGGCTCATCCTCCGAAGCAGTGCCCGTCCCCATCCTGTGTCCTGGGCTTGAGGGATGGAGACTGGTGGCCTCCACTCTGCAGTGGCCCTGGCCTCCCTGGAGCTCTGAGAGGAGCAGACTTGGTGTGTAACGGGCTCTGGTCCCTGGAGGCAGCACAGAGCATCAGCTGTCAAAGGAAGGAAGATCGCTCCTGGGCTGTAGGCAGGAGCCACTTGGGTGCTGACGACAGGTCTGTTTGCTTCCTCTTCTCATGCTTAACTCTCTGCAGGGCATGGACACCTGCCAGGAATAATCTTCTTCTCCCTGTCTTCCTTCTTCCTCTATTTTAAATTAGCTTTTGCTTGTTAAAACCTGCCAAACTTGACACAGTGGTGCATGCGACCAGCCCCAGCTACTGAAGAGTCTAAAGCAGGGAAATCACTTGAGCGTGAGTGTTCAGAGCTAGCCTGGTCAAAATAATGTCAAAAATAAATAGACAAAGGAGCATAAAGGTGGAAGCATTCTAGTGTCCATGGACAAAGGAAATATAGAGTATAATGTGATAGAATATTGGTCAGCCCTAAAAAAGGAAGGAAAATCTGATACAGGAATGAAACTTGAGGGCATGATGCTAAACAGAACAAGCCAGTCATGAAAAGACAATTACAGTGTGATTCCCACTTAGCAGACATCCTTAGAATAGTCAGATTCATAGAGACAGAAAGGAGAATGGTGATGCTGGGGGCTGGAGAGAGGAGGACTGGGGAGCTAGTACTGAATGGTAACAGGGTTTCAGTATGAGAGATGCAAAATCCTGGAAATAGATGGTGGTGATGGTTGCAAAACAACACAGATATACTTCTTACCAATCAAGTGCACACGTGAAATATTTAAAACAGAGGCTGGAGATGTAGTTAGTCCCAGAGCACTTGCTTACCACATACAGTGCTCTGAGTTTGATCCCAGCACCATTAAAAATGGTTAAAATTTTATGCTATGAATGTTTTACCACATTAAAAAATGCATAATGACATCCATGGAGTCCACCAAAAAAGGTACACACACTTCAGAAAAAGAAAAACAATAAATATCTGGAGGCTAATGGCCACCACTTTGAGCACATCTTGTAATTCTAGAGGCCAAAGGTAACTTGTATGAATCTCGTGATGTCTCAGTAAATTTAGTATTAAAATATTCATGAGTTTTTCTTTTCCTGAAGTATGCACACATTTTTTGGGTAGACTCTGTACAGTGGTGCCTCAGTTCATGAATTTAGTTCATTCCACAATTCTGATTGTGAACCGAATTAGTCACAAGACAAATCAATTTTTCCAGTAAGGTTGATTGTAAATAAGGTGAATCCATTCTGAACCACATGTGTTTTTTAACCCCCAAAATATGAAACAAATCCAGTGCAGTGCAGTGAGGAGAGAGGGAACACTCACCTTGCTTGTGTGGAGGCCGGACAGTGGGTGGGGTGGAGGCTGTGAGGCCCCTCAGAAGGACATCAGGGAGATCACTATCAGGGCTGTTGTTTCTTCTTTGTCTCAGCTGCAGGGTCATTTTTAATGAATGATCTGTCTGATGTCCCTCATTTTTCCTTGCTGCATAACCCTCCAGAGATGAGAGACCATGTCGGGCGCAGGTGCTCAACACACCCCGCCCGGGACGATAAGACCACGTCAGCTTCCGCAATGTGCTACGTCCCTCTCTAAATTAGCCAACCCGTGCACACCTCATGCTCACTCCGTATTCGCCCCGTGCCGACTCTGTGGCAACCCCTGATTGGCCACAGCTGGATATATTAGCCAGAGCTTGCATCCCATTCCCGCCCTGCTTCCTCGTGGCAGCCTGTGATTGGTCACGGCCAAATATATAAACCAGAGCCCGGGTAAATAAAGCAGAGTTAACTGTCACCCACAAGAGCGTCTCCTGTCTCATTGGGGGGCTGCGCCGGTCAAGACCACATTATTGTTCGTAAGATCTGACATTCTGCTTGCTACAGTCATGTTGAGGTGGCACTTCTCAAAGAAATCCTGGCACTGGTTCCACCTTTCCAGAATGGGTTTTGTCACCATGCTGCTAACCTCCTCCCTGTCCTCCTCTTCCTCGATGGGCTGCTCCTCAACAACAAGAGTTCTGCTTCTTGCACTGCTCACTAGATTTCAGCAAGTTCTTTTGTCAGCTCCTCCTTATGCTCTTCAAGCTTCTCTACCTCTGCACCATCCATGTCCACACCCGTATTTTGCCCACGGACACCATGTCCTTCCTCACTGCCTGTGCACTGGACCCTTAAAAATCACATTCAATTTACATTCTAGCCACAGTTTCCTCCAGGTTGAGATTAAGGTTCGTATGTGACATCTTTGCAGGCTTTGTCAGTCAGATTGATGCAGCACAGGACGTTGAAATGTTTCTTCCAACACTCTTGCAGGGTCAAAGACATTAAAACAGCTTGTGGGGAACTTAGGACTCTGGGAAGCCAAACACGCACCTCGCCTCCCTGGTAAGTGGTGGCAGTGTGGCAGACTGCAGCCCTTCCAGGGGAAGAACCCCAGAAGCAGCTCCTGAGATCCGCGCCATGTTGGAACTTAGGATGCTGGGAAACCAAACAACCAGCCTGCCTCCCTGCTAAGCAATAGTGAACCTACTGGTGCACGGCCTAGAGTCAAACATCCCACTTCCCCTACCCCTCTTCTCCTGCCCCCCCCACTACCCCCCGTTAGCAAATGGGAACCAGAAATCTGAGCATCTCCTGGAAGGTTGACCATAGCAAATAAGGGGAACTTCCTTCTACCATCTCTTTGAAGGCAAATATTTTTATTACTGTTTTGCTCTATTCT